ACCTCAAAATCAATAGGGGTCATCTACTAATCATGACTAATCTCCATGCTAAATATGAAGACTGTGGGTCAAAGGAATCTTAAGTTATTGGTCGGACAGGAAAAAACCGACGGACGGCCGGACAGACGGACAAGCTGATTTCAGTATACCCCCCTTACAACTTTGTTGTGCGGGGGTATAAAAATATTGCTTCAAGAGTTATAAACCTATCACATAAGATGTGGTTGATGATAAGGAATCAAGGGGGAGAATCACGCCGTTCGTTACCCAAACAAACAAGATGGATGCAGCCGAAAAGTAAGTTTTTCCTTTTCTTCTCTGAAATTCGTAATTTTCTTGTGTAAAGAAATAACCTTCTCCACTATTTTACGGACACACAGGATTTTATTTCATGACGTTTTGTCCTGTGCTTCATCTGAAATGTGCGTCACAAGAATCGAAGCGAGAGAATTTTCCTACGGTTTAATCGTGATAACGTACGGCTTCTTCTCTCAAATTCAGTGTTTCTTTTACATATATACGTATTGACTGAAAACGCTGACTTTAAAATTTGTAGTATGTTGTCATCTAAACATCCATGCCAATGCTGGCTTGAATTAGGGCTGTAAATATGAATATCGGGGCATATCCCGGAAATGATAACGTACGGCGCACAAAAGATCAATGACAACATACGGCACATTTTTCTGCTTGGTGGTTTTCCATTTGTCCAGTCAGCTTTACTGAATTATTTGTATGTTGGAAATGATTGATATCTGCAAAAATGTTTGTCTGTTCAGAAATAAATAATTGAACAATGCTGCACCATCGAGTATAAATATCTTTCTAGCTGAGGGCATAATAGATTATCGTTGTTAATATACTAACCTTTATCTACCAATTTAAACACACATGCATAGTTGTATAAAATGCAGAATGGAAAGAAAAGCCTCCACTTTCAGGAAACATTGTGTATTGTTGTCTTCACATTAATTTTCACAATGATGGTCTTATCCTCTTATCAGAAAGAAGAAGCGCATTCAGCAGATCAGAAATATTAAAAAGATACAGACATCTATATATATTTTCTTTTCTAAAGAAAAAGTCTAAAATCATTTCTGACAAATTTCTGATAAGGAAATCTTAATATTTGAACCACGTCAAACATAAACAAAACGAAAATTGATTGCTACTAGCTTACATCCAGATGAGATGGGCCTGTGTTATTCAATCTGGTCGCTCATTGAAACAGAGAATAATAAATGAGTGTAGGTTCTTTATTATTGAATTAGTTAGAAAATAATGTTATGTGAAAAAGTTCAATAAATTAAGTGAATAAGAAATTTCCTGTTTATTTGACGGGCGGTTAATATAGAAACGCTATCATTTAACGTGACATTGCGCCACCATGACGCCAGATATATTTGCACAACATTGCCATAAAGGTTGTTTATTATAATGAAAAGAACATCATAATTGATCAAAACAATTACATGCAATTCATGAATTTGCCTATCATATTCTGGCGATTTTTCATCAAACGCCCCAACAAAAACAATCAATTTCTTTTAAAGAAAGTATTGTAGGCATCAGCAATAAAACAGTGACATTGAAATTTGCTTATTAATTTCTAGTGGTAAACATTTTACAGACCATGAAACATAGTTTCAAATCGGATTTGGATTTAGATGTATTTATCCATGCCGGAAAACCCATCTGAAACCTGAAATGCCATACTGCTCATGCGCTCAGATGACCTCATTAACTTTGTGAAAGAACGGTTGTAAAAATTACTATGCTGCTATGAAAATAGTATTTACGAAGTATATGTCAGTGTTCATCTGTACTGTTCTACAGAAATTAGAAACTTCGACGGGAACGATAGCGACCAGAGATTGTTTCTAATTTCTGTAGAACAGCTACTGATGAATACTAGCTGGACACTTATATTATATAGATATTTGAAATTTGGGATCAAGTTTAACTTTTGACGACACTTTATCTAAAATAATGTTCAAACCACCAAAGGTGGAATATATTCGATTATGATACGCAAGAAAACATATCACTTGTGATGACATATAAGATTTAAATATCCATCGGGCACCTGCACAAGCAAGCCTTGTTACAGCCCAATGTGAAAGCGCCCTCGGAAGGGATGTTTCTATCCGATACATAAATACATGACAGATATTATTATGCAAACACTAAATAATATTCAATTTCTTTATTTGGTTCTACACATCCTCTTATGTCTTGAAAACATAACTTTTTTGGATTAAAAAGAAAATCCATTAAGCAGAAAAAATGTGCCGTACGTTATCACTGATACTTTGTGCGCCATACGTTATCATTTCCAGAAAATGCCCTGATATTAATATTTACAGCACTTATTCTAGCTAGAATGCTTAGATGACAACAAATTACAACTTTTTAAAGCTAATGGTTTCAGTTAATATACATATATGTAAACGAAACAGTAAATTTTATAGAAGAAGCTGTACGTTACCACGATCAAACCGGTGGAAAATTCTCTCGCTTTGAATCTAGTGATGCACATTTCAGATGAAGTACTGGACAAAACATCATGAAATAAAATCCTGTGTGCTAGGAAAACTGTGGAGAAGGTTATTATATGTACCTTTACACAAGAACATCACAAATTTTTGAGAAAAAAGGGAAAAACCTACTTTTCGACTGCATCCCCCATCTTGTTTGTTTGGGTAACGAACGGTGTGGTTCTCCCCTGTGGGAATATGTATTTGAAGTTTGAGGTAGCTACCTTTAAAACTAAGGAAATTAAAGTAAAAAATAATATTTTTCAAGCAAACAATCTAAGTTCATGGGGAGATAATTCTTGCAATATTGGTGCTAGAGTTATGAACATTGTCACATAAATTGTAGTTAATGATAAGAAACATATATTTGAAGTATTACACATGCTGATCAACATTCCTGTAAAGTTTCATGCCTCTAGGTCAAATACTTTTGAGCCACATGTGACACATGTTGAAAATTGCAAATATTTACTAAGTCAAGGGCAATAACTCATAAAATACTGAATATATATTCACAGGAAAATACCCAAGTGCACAACTACACATGCTGATCAACATTTCTATAAAGTTTCATGACACTAGGTCAAATACTTTTTGAGCTATGTGCGACACAAGTTGAAAATTGTAAATTTTTACTAAGTGAAGGGCAATAACTCTAAAATTACTAAATATATCCACACGAAAATACCCAGGTGTACAACTAGACATGCTGATCAACATTTCTATAAAGTTTCTTGACCCTAGGTCAAATACTTTTTGAGCTATGTGCGACACAAAAGAGAATGGACGGACTGAAGGACGGACGGACAAGGGTAAATCTAAATCCCCCCCCCCCAAAGTGGGGGCACAAAAAATAATATTTTTAAGGAAAATTCTAAGTTCAAGGGGATTAAAATCTGAAAATATTGGTACTAGAGTTACGAAACTTGTCACATAAATTGTGGTTACTGTGAATTCACTTATATTAGTGGGCATGAAATTTCGTGGTTTTATCAAAACGGGCATTTTCGTGGGTTCTTAAATTCGTGGATTTTCATTTTCTTGTAAAAACATTTAGTAACCTAATGCAAAGTAATCTTAAACCATTACTGCCAATAATTGGCTGCAATTAACATATTTATGTGACATGATATGCACCTCCATTAGACACACTGCCCCTGTGATTCGCCGTGTAAACATCACATAATTTATACGACATTTGGCGAGTTTAAAAATTTTACACCCTGAATTGGTCTAACCATATTTGACAGTAACTACAAGCAACGTCACAGCAACTGTGTAAATTTACATGCATATAGATTCATCTGAATTAATAACACGAGTATGTGTGGATCTAGAAAAAGTTGGTGGCGTCTTTGATGTTTACGGAATAGCATTCGCACAAATACAGATTAAAATTCATTTAAACTGGATCATTTAAAAACGCCAAAAGAATGTACAATTCATCTGTTTTAGCGATTGTATTTTTTAAATTTGTGTGTATTAATATCAAGTACTTTTTTTTAATTAATAAGAGCAAACTGACATTTTTTATAAGCGCTAATTATTGGATTGCCTGGGTTCTCATATTTACTCGATTATGTCAAGTATTCTTGTTTACACAATCAACAAAGATCAAGTTTGTATATGCAACCAACATTTGTGACAGTAAATTGAGGACATATAATTGAGTTTTCTTTCTAGTTTCTTAAATATTGCAAACGGATTTAATCTGTCACTAACCTGATTATCTGTACTGCATGTACTGTATATACATCCATTTCACGAAAATCGCTTGGAAAAGAGCCGATGCATGTTTGTAATATATAGAACAGAGACAGGGTAATAAGTATTTGTTGGGATAAAATTTCGTCGGATCTTAAATTCGTGGATTGACCTACCCACGAAAACCACAAAAATTCGTGCCCCACGAATAATAATGATTTTACAGTAATTATAAGGAACATATATATTTGAAGTATGAAGTTGATCCCTTAAGAAATAAAAAAGTAACAGTAAAAAATAATATTTTTAAGGAAAATTCTAAGTTCAAGGGGAGATAAATCTGAAAATATTAGCATTAGAGTTATTAACCTTGTCACATAAGATGTTGTTGATGATAAAGAACATATATTTGAAGTATGAAGTTGATCCCTTAAGAAACAAAGAAGTTAAAGGAAAAAAAAGAAAAATTCTAAGTTCAAGGGGACATAAATCTGAACATATTGGTACTAGAGTTATGAACCTTGTCACATAAGATGTGGTTCATAATAAGGAACATATATTTGAAGTTTGAAGTTGATAGCTCATGAAATGAAAATAGTGAAAAATATTTTACTCCACCAAAACTTTAATCTGAAATCTGGATGTGGACACCGGGGCGAGTAAGACAGCTCTCCATATACTTTGTATAGTCAAGCTAATGAGAAAACCAGAGACAGACATGTTGTATGATTTCCAATTCTGTCATAACATTTAACTTACCCTGGAAAGAGACCAGGAGCTTCTGAATTTAATGTTTGCATTCCGGACATGACTTGTTGCATTGCCTGTAGTGCTCGAGGGTTAGTTAACATTGACTGAACTGTTGGGTCCTGCATCTGTTAAAGTAAAAATACACTTTCATAAAAGCGTACTACATGTATCATCAATAAAATTTGCTGATTTAGATGAAATACTTATAGTGTTATAAATAGTGATTAAAGCAAAACTGTCTGCCATTACACATTAGCAAAAACCAACAATAAAGGAACAACAAGACCTGAAATTGCTCACCTGTATATAGGCCCCCAGGGCGGGGCCAATTTAACCCCAAGGGCTTTTATTTGAACAAACTTGATAGACACCCATTCGTAGATGTTTCATGCTATATATCTTAGCTCTAGCTCTTTGGGTTTTTTAAAAGAAGTTTTTCAAGTTTTTTCAATATACATAACGGGAAAAACAATGACGCCTTTTTACCCCAGGGCTTTTATATGAACAAACTTGGTAGGCACCCACTGGAAGATGTTTCATGCTTAATATCTAAGCTCTAGCTATTTGGGTTTTCTAAAGGCAGATTTTTGAAGTTTTTACTATAAACAACTAAGGAAAATCAATGACCCCAAGGGCAGAGCCAATTTTGACCTCAGAGCATTTATTTGAACAACTTGGTAGAAACTGACTAGACGATGTTTCATGCCAAATATTTAAGCTCTAGCTCTTTTGGTTTTCTATAAGAGTTTTTAAGTTTTTTCTTTCGGTTGCCATGGCATGGAATTAAATTCTTTGCACAATTTTTAAAGTTGACTACCAAAGGGACATTCCTGTGAAGTTTGGATGAAATTGGCTTAGCAGTTTATGAGGAGATGTCGTTTAAAGTAAAAGTTTACAGACGGATGCCGACAAAAAGCGATCAAAATAGCTCACCATGTTAATTTGCGACAGGTGAGCTAAAAATTGAATTCTCTAGATCCATGGTTGCTTCTTTATAGAGTGTATAAAATAAATACAAGGTTCATTTCAATAAGAAGACATTTACTTGTTGCATCATCTGTGGTAAATTCCTTTGAAACTGTTCACGAAGTTGTGGATTATTGGCAAACATTGGGTTACTTCCTAAAATCTGTAACATAAGGCAAAGGAACATTAATGGGCTATGTATGATAGCAAATATCATTTATTCCTATTACATCTTAAATGCATCATGATAGAAAACCATTAGTTTTAAGATTAGAATCAAAGAAATGAAATGAATAAATGATATACCTGATTAGCTAGTTCTGGATTAGCAGACATAGATTCCAACATTGACTGCATATATGGGGCTTGTAACATATTCTGCATTAATTGTGGATTAGATGACATCTGTGCCATTAAACTAGACATACCGGGGGTGTTAAACATTCCTGAAACAAACATATATATGGACTAGTACATTTGAATATACACACACCTGGTGATTTCCTTATATTTTAAAGAATTTTATTACACAAAACAGTGTATAACAATGAAAATTACAGTGACAAATCAGGCAACAAGCAAATATTTAAGATTTCAAAGTCAGAGATCAAAGTTGTACAACAATTGGGACTGAGTTGGAGGTCAGTAAAGTAATGATTTCCTATTTAATTGTGTTCTATTTCTTATATTATAATGCACTTTATTAGAGCAAAATGGTAAGAGATTTACAGAGAGAGATTTTTTATTACAAATAATATTTCTTTTACTTTTTAACTAAATGCACTAAAAGCTTTTAGCAGTCAGCTTATATAATGCTCATATTATAAAATATTTATGTTTATACACCACTTAATTTTAGCAGTTTGCTAGAATCACAATAGTCCACTAAAGGAGGTTACTACTAATGTAGAATTTTTTTTTGTCTGACAGCTTACATCACCCAGATATTACATTAAAGGCACACTGAAAATGACAAGTTTGCTTTTTTACGCCCATTTCAACACGTTTTGGGTACTATCACCTAATCAGTCAATCTAACTGGCTATTCTGGAAACCTAACCAATAATTACCAATTTCTCTTCCAGTGACAGACTATTTATCCCATACAATTTCTGAAATAGCGGTGTATATAACCCTATCAACTTAACAGTGTCTCAAGTTATCATAAGTAGACATGTATATTAAATGGGACAAGTTAACTGAGGAGAAGTCATGAAGATATAACAAAAGGGTCATGATGGCCCTGAAATCTCTCACCTGTTTATAAAAGGAACATTATATTAGTACTATTGCGGACGAAAGACATTGTTCATCATGAACTGTGGTAGGCATGCTATAAATTAGAATATTAAATGTTTTTTTCCAATGGAACTTGAAATTCTATAAATATTAACAATAATATCCAAAATATACAGTTCTATACCCTCTATATGGTATATGTTTATAGGGGATATTTTGGATATTATCATTAATATTGGTTATTTGATAGAATTTCAAGTTCATGTGGTATTTTCTTTGGAACATACAAAATAGTAGTCAAAATGAACAAAGTCTGTTAATTGATTTATTGAGAGGTCAATCTACTATTTTACTGAATTACTTCAAAAACCTCGTCTGACCCACCGGTGTGTTTACATTCCTATCGATAAACCCATAAAAACTCTTGTTAAAATTGCAGACAAAAGTTTCTGTTGTTCACAATATTCTGCAAATCAACATTCGACTCAAACTACCATAAAATCGATTGCCTTCAAACAATATATAGAACAGCAAAAATCCGGGAAATCAGGTCGACTTTAGCTTAAGAGACTTGAACAGCGAATAGGTTTTATAGTATACTTCTGCTAGACCTAACGTTAAAATAAAAAGTTACGAACTAGGTCTATTTCAATATTCACGGTACAAATGTCATTAGTGCAATCAGGCCCGTAAAAAGAAAATTGGGAGGAACCTACAGAAAAGAAAATATCAAAATAATAATACAATGATATAACAATTTGTAAAAATGGCCTACTGTTAATTGTTTGCATTTCATTTCCTGCAAAATTCTCCAGTTTGTTATTAATTACCATAGTGCGCTCGAATGACCGTTTCGTTTAACTAAAAATTCTTCTATAAATAGATTTTCGGACATTCACAATGTTAAGGTGATCATTCTATTTATAGGTACAGCAATAACATACAAAATAATCCACTGTGTACTACAAAATGATTAATAAAAAACCGAAGAGCGTGATTAAAATTGACAGATAAGTTCATTTGAATATGTTTGCATTGCGAAATTCTCCAGTTCGCTATTCATTGTACATATCAAACATTTCATTCTAGATAATCAAACAACCTCATACCGATCGGAATGATCCGCTATTATGATTGCACTTCGGCGATAAACAAAAGCAGATATAAAATATAAATCTGAAACTGATATCACAAAGTTCATATTTCTATCTGAAATAGTGCATGTGTAAAAACATTACTGGTTGCCATTGCTTAGGGAAAAAACAGTTCCAAAAGATGTGTACATATACGAATAATCAATGACCCCTGGGGCGGGTCCAATTTTGACCCCAGGGCTTCTATTTGATCAAACTTGGTAGACACCCACTAGAAGATGTTTCATGATAAATATCTAAGCTCTAGCTCTTTGGGTTTCTTTAAAAAAAAATTATTTCTGATTTTACTTTATACATATAAGGAAAATCAATGACCCCCAGGGCGGGGCAAATTTTGAACCCAGGGCTTTTATTTGAACAAACTTGGTAGACACCCATTAGAATATGTTTCATACTTAATATCTAAGCTCTAGCTCTTTGGGTTTTTTTGTTTTTACAGTGCAGTCCAGATACAACGAGATCGTCAGGACTTCGCATGGTTCCTCGTTATAACCGGGTCTCGTTATAACAGGGACATAACAAATTGAGAAATCCAACACTGTCGAGCATCATTTATTTCTACTTTCCCGTACATCCTCTTTGAAGAGTACATAATAGGAGGTACTTCTTTGCACTAAGAATTTTTTGTTTTATCTTAAATATACATGTATATAAATATATCTAGCTATCATTGAATTTAAACAAAACATTTGAAAAACACATACTACGCCTAACAACATGAATTTTTTCATAAGTATGTACATTGTAAATTTCCTTTCCAAAATTCATGCAGTGTATTTTTTTATGAACACCAAATTTCACTGCAAGAAATAAGCCGCTTCCTTTGTGCGTATCACTCAATAAAATTTGTTTTGTTAAAGCATTTCGTCACTTAGAGGACAATTTAGCCCGGAGCTCTGACAGAACAAGGCTGACACATTTGATCGCTAATTGCTCAATAATTGTTTCCTTAATTACTTTTGTTTTCGACCACCATTGTTTTTCTCAAGGTGACAAGCTGTTGCAGACCACATGCCAATTAGGGAAGTCATTAAAAATTATGAAAAATGGGTCAAAGACAGAAAAGGCCGGGTTGCATTTCTATACCAAATTTCATGATGCTGTAATGTTACGAAAAAAATTTACCACTGACCATTAATGTGGAAAAGTCAGTTAACAGGAAGTAAATGAGCTACAGACCTGAAATCGAATCCCACTGTAAGGGACCACATGTTTATGTTGTATGCCAAATATCAAGAGGCTGTGATAAGAAGTTGCTGAGCAAACTGTTACCCAAATTTCCTACCCATGACCATTTATGTCAAAAATTCAACTAAGTAAACAGGAAGTGGTGAGCGACAGATCTGAAATCGAATCCCACGATATAGGACCATGAGTCTCTGCCGTATGCCTATTATCAAGAGGCTGTAATAAGTAGTTGCTGAGAAAACTGTTTCGAAAATTTCCTTCCATTGACCGTTAATGTTGAAAATTTAACTAAGTTGGTAAACAGGAAAAGGATCAGCGACAGACCTGAAATCAAATCCCACAGTATGGGAACACATGTCAATGCTGTATGCCAAATATCAAGAGACTGTTATAAGAAGTTGCTGAGAAAACTGTCACAAAAATTTCCTCCCATTGACCATTAATGTAGAAATTTAACTAAGTCGGTAAACAGGAAGTGGATAAGCAACAGACCTGAAATCGAATCCCACAGTATGGGACCATGTGTAAATGCTGTATGCCAAATATCTAGAGGCTGTGATAAGTAGTTGCTGAGAAAACTGTTAGGAAAATTTCCTACTTTTGACCATTAATGTCAAAAATTTAACTAAGTCGGTAAACAGGAAGTGGATGAGCGACAGACGACAGACCTGAAATCTTATCCCAAGGTATGGGACCATTTGTTGATGCTGTATGCCAAATATTAAGAGGCTGTGATAAGTAGTTGCTGAAAAAACAGTTACGAAAGGTTTTTCCCGGCCCCCTCGACCGACATTCACCATACTATTACCCAGGTTTGCACCTGTGCAATCCGGCCAAAAATACGGATGGGACGGCGAATATATGTTTGTTGTAACCGATATCTCGCTAAAACCGATCTCCTTATAAACGGTATAAAATGGAAGGAAAATAGAAGGGGAAAGACATGGACACAGTAGAATGTACGCTATAAATGTACCTCGCTAAAAACAGATCTCATTATAAGTGGAGTAGGCTGTACATATAAGGAAAATCAATGACTCTGCGGCACCAATTTTGACCCCAGGGCTTTTACTTCAATACACTTGGTAGACACTCACTATAGGATGTTTCATGCCAAATATCTAACCTCTAGCTCTTTGGGGTTTTTTTTAAAGAAGATTTTTAAGTTTTTACAATAGACATATAAGGAAAATCAATGACAACCATGGGTGGGGCCAATTTTGACCCCAGGGCTTTTATTTGTACACTCACTAGAAGATTATTCATGCAAAATATCTAAGCTCTAGCTCTTTAGGTTTTTTAAAAGAATATTTTTTAAGTTTTTTCTTCTGCATGGAATTCAATTCTTTGCAAAGGAACATTGCTGTGAAGTTTGGATGAAATTTGCTTATCGGTTTATGAGGAGATGTCATTTAAAGTAAAAGTTTACAGACGGACTACGGATGAAAAGTGATCACAAAAGCTCACCATGTCACTTTGTGACAGGTGAGCTAACTAGAACTGCCACTGTCATGGCGTGAATATCCCACATACCACTTTGTCAGAATCAAAAGTGGACAGTTAGAGCTCAAGGACAACCTCCCTGCCAAATCTGAGGTTAGCAAGCCAGTGCATTGCTAAGTTATGTATTCTACATGCTTCAAATGTGAAAATGTCAAAATCAATACACTGTGGCCAGGCATTCTTAAGCATTTGAGCTTATTAGAGTTAAAATCCCTGTGACCTTGACCTTTGATAATCTCACCTAAAAATCAATAGGGGTCATCTGCTAGTCATAAACAACCTCAATACCGAATATGAAGACTGTTGACTAACCATTCTTAAGCAATTGAGCGGACAAGCTTTTTTAAGTCAAGGGACCTGTGTTCTTGACCTTTGACCCAGTGACTTCAAAATCAATAGGGGTCACCTAATGGCCATGATCAACCTCCATGCCAAATATGAAGACTGTGGGTCAAAGGTTTCTTAAGTTATTGGGCGGACAAATTTTTTGAAGTCCCTGTGATTATGATCAATATTTATAATCTAAATACCAAATATGAAGACTATGGGTCAAAGGAATCTTAAGTTATTGGGCAGACAAGGAACGGCCGGCCGGACAAGCTGATTCCAGTATACCCACCCCCCTTACAACTTTGTTGTGCGGGGGTATAACAATCAGTCTCTTACATATTTATAAGGTACAATATGATGCTTTCCATTGAAAAAAGTTATTCCATTAAAAATATAAAGATCAAACTATCATTTGAAAAATAAAGAAAGAAAAATATCAGATAACAATGAAGGTTTTATAATTTTGGTATTTGTCATACCAGTCTGACCAGATGAAGCTGTCGAGTTTGTTGTTGTTGTTGAGGAGGTCCCGGTAGATGTGGTTTGTGATGCCCACGGGTTTGGTAATGGATCCGTGTTCTCACGCCCTGCCATCTCTTGACCACCTGAAATATATTTTATTCTTGCCAGATTTGTCCCCTTAACTGTTTAATGGCTAGCATTTATATTTACTCGATTATCTTACAAGTTTGAACTATTTGATGCCCAGCATTTTTAATGTCAGCTTTTATGGCATGAATTAATGTTGTGATAAATAATTACCATTTTGGCTAACCAATCCAGCAAATGGGTTTGATCCAAAGCCTTCCTGTGCAGCATTCATCATCGGCTCTTGTATATCAGTATACATACGTTGTAATGCATTAAAACCACCAGGTATACTCTACAACAAAAACTAAAACTATCACTAAATGTGATTAATTCCCACCGCAAGACTGCTTCAGAAATGAGGAAGTTACTGGTAACAAAATACCTTGCAAAAGAACTGAAATAGAGTTATGGTTGTTGGCAATTAAAGATAGTTTTGGTTACTTTAGTACTTTACAAGTTAAGCTCCGGACAAGGAAAAGTATCAAAGGGCAATAACTCTGTCATTTGTCAAAATGGTGTTATTGTTCTTGTGCAGTGCAATTCCTCTTAATGTGCATGACGATTGTATGAAGTTGTATTGAATTCCAACAACTAGTTTTCAAGTTATGCTCCAGACAAGGAAAAGTAACAAAGGGCAATAACTCTGTAATTAGTCAAGATGGAGTTAATGTTCTTGTGCACTGCACTTCCTCTAAATGTCCTTGATCATTGTATGTAATTGTATTGAATTCCAAACATAAGCCTTCAAGTTATTCTCCGGACATAAAAAGCAATGGAAAAATAACAAAGGGCAATAACTCTGTAATTACTTTACATAGAGTTATGGTTCTTGTGCACTGCACTTCCTCTTATTGTGCTTGACCATCGTATGAAGTTGTTTTGAATTCCAACCAGTAGTTTTCAAGTTATGCTCCGGACAAGGAAAAGTAATAAAGGGCAATAACTCTGTAATTAGTCAAGATGAGTTATGGTTCTTGTGCACTGCACTTCCTCTCAGTGTGCTTGACCATTGTATGAAGTTATATTGAATTCCAACCATTAGTCTTCAAGTTATGGTTCGGACAAACAAGAGGGCCATGATGGCCCTGAAGTTGCTCACCTGTATATAGGCCACTGGAGCGGGGCCAGTTTAAACCCCAGGGCTTTTATTTGAACAAACTTGGTAGACACCCATTAGAAGATATTTCATGCTTAACATCTAAGGTCTAGCTCGTTGGGTTTTTTAAAAGAAGATTTTTCAAGTTTTTTCTTTACCCATATAAATAAAAACAATTACACACCTAGGGCAGGGCCAGTTTTGACCCCAGGGCTTTTATTTGAACAATCTGTGTAGACACTTACTAGAAAATGTTTCATGCTTAATATCTAAACTCTAACTATTAAGGTTTTTTCAAAGAAGATTTTAAAGTTTTTGCTATTCACATATAAGGAAAATTAATGTCCCCAGGACGGGGCCAATTTTGACCTAAGGGCTTTTATTTGAACAAACTTGGTAGACATTCACTAGAAGATGTTTCATGCTTAATATCTAAACTCTAGCTTATTGAGTTTTTTCAAAGAAGATTTTTTAAGTTTTTGTTGTACACATATAAGGAAAATGAATGACCCCCGGGGCGGGGCCAATTTTGACCCCAGGGCTTTTATTTGAACAAACTTGGTAGACACTCACTAGGAGATGTTTCATGCTTAGTATCTAAGCTCTAGCTATTTGGTTTTTTTTTTTCAAAAAAGTTTTTTAAGTTTTTGCTGTACACATATAAGGAAAATCAATGACCCCCGGGGCGGGGCCAATTTTGACCCCAGGGCTCATATTTGAACAAACTTGGTAGACATCCATTATAACATGTTTCATGCTAAATATTTAAGCTCTAGCTCTTTCGGTTCTGTAAAAGAAGATTTTTTAAGTTTTTACTTAGGGTTCATACAGACCATCCAGGACAAAATTCAAGGAGTTTTCAAGGACTTTTCAAGGACTTTTTCAAGTATTTCAAGGACTAAAATATGTGAAACACTACGTAAAGACAAATATGTGTAAAAGGGCGACAATGTATGAAATTAGTGTTTTACATGCAAATACCTGTTGAAGTACTATCAAATTTATGAAATTTTTTCTAAGTGTGCAAGATTTTGCAGTAGTTGCTTCAGAGGGTGGGAGTGGTATTGTCAGATTATTGTTATTGTCATCTTTATTCAAGATAGTACTTGCACCTAAACTGAAGAAGCTAGTTACATTGTATATCCTGATTACATTCTCTCCCTGTTGAGTGTTGTGAATTGTTTGTGTTTCTCACTTTAATCTGCGATTTTATAGCGCTTTCACCCATTCCTGAAACGTCTATAACCTTATCACAAGCACTACACATCGCTTTTCTTTAATCATCCTTGAATTCTTTAATGAAAGGGTATTTTTCTACACATTTTGGCGAGAAATTACACTTCTTCATTTTTTGATGAATAACCCAAACCGGTCCGTGAAATTTACACGTCATGAATATTTCAATCGTGTATAAAAGCCGATACCCGTTCCATACCGTCTTACTATCTCGTTACAAAGTCGTTTTTTTTTTTAATTGATGTATATTTGAGCTTTCTTTTGTTTTTTGGCCGCTGTTTTACTTATTTAAATCGTTTTGTGGTACTTAATGAGGAATTCGTGGATTATTGAACAAAATTCACAAGTTTCCTGTAAAATTCAAGGAGTTTTCAAGGACTTTTTCCCTGGACAAAATTCAAGGAGTTTTCAAGGACTAACCACCAAATTCAAGGACTTTTCATGGCCTGTGCGAACCCTGTACTATATGCATATAGAGAAAATCAATGACCCCCTGGGGCTCGGCCAATTTTGACCCCAGGGCTTTTATTTGAACAAACTTGGTAGACACTTACTAGAAGATGTTTCATGCCAAATATCTTAGCTCTAGCTCTTTGGGTTCTGTAAAAGAAGATTTTTTAAGTTTTTACTATATGCATATAGGGAAAATCAATGACCCCCTGGGGCGGGGCCAATTTTGACCCCAGGGCTTTTATTTGAACAAACTTGGTAGACATGAGTGGATGTTTCATGCCAAATATCTAAGCTCTAGCTCTTTAGATTTTTAAAAGAAGATATTTAAAGTTTTTTCTTTCCGTTGCCATGGCAACCAGAGTTCTGCATGGAATTAAATTCTTTGAACAATTTTTAAAGGTGACCACCAAAGGAACATCCCTGTGAAGTTTGGATGTCATTTAAAGCAAAAGTTTACGGACAGACGCCGGACGGACGGACGCCGGACGAAAAGCGATCACAAAAGCTCACCCTGTCACTTTGCGACAGGTGAGCTAATAAAAACTAGAAATGTGTCATCATGCCACGGATGCCCCCGCATGCAGCCAAAATTTCAGATGTTATAATATTTAGTTCCAAATTTGTTTGCACAAATAATTTTTTTCATTTTAAGTTCAAAGCCCTTAAAACTTTTCAATGTTAACACAAACCATTTTCATACAATGTTCAAGGCACTGAAATTATTCAGTCTAAACCTTTTGAAAATAGCATATTTCATATTTGTAGCCAAAATAATGGCTACATACATTTCAGTGCTGAAACTGAAAGTTCAAAATTTTTACAACATTCAAGAAAGATAAGTTTGTCCAAAATCATTGAGCCACGACCAAATTCAAACTTAAACTGCTTATTCCTAAGATGTATCTATATTGTTTTCAAAGTGAAAGGGACATAACTCTGCCAAAAAGTCATCGAACTATGACCAAATTCAAACTTGACCTGCCCATTCCTTTGACATATCCATGTGTCAAATTTGAGTAGTTGGGTAGATAATGAACAGAAACTGTAAATTTCATATTATTTTCAAAGTGAAAGGGGCATTACTCTGCCAAAAATCATTGAACCATGACCAAATTCCAACTTGGCCTGGGCATTCCAAAAATATATCCATATGTCAAATTTGAGTTGAATGTGTTGTACCATTGGGGAGATAATAAACAGAAACTGAAAATTTCATATTATTTTCAAAGTGAAAGGGGCATAAATCTGCCAAAAATCATTGAACCATAACCAACTTTGAACTTGACCTGCGCATTCCTGTGACGTATCCATATGTCAAGTTTGAGTTAAAAGTGTTGTACCATTGGGGAGATAATGACCGGAAACTGAAAGTTTCATATTATTTCCAAAGTGAAAGGGGCATAACTCTGCCAAAAATTATTGAACCATGACCAAATTCTAACTTGACCTGTATTTTCTCACGACATATCCATATGTCAAATTTGAGTTGAATGTGTTGTACTGTTGGGGAGATAATGAACGGAAACTGAAAATTTCATATTATTTTCAAAGTAAAAGGGGCATAACTCTGCCAAAAATCATCGAACCATGACCAAATTCGAACTTGACCTGTATTTTCTCATGACATATCCATATGTCAAGTTTGAGTTGAATGTGTTGTACCATTGGGAAGATAATGAACGGAAACTGAAAATTTCATATTATTTTAAAGTAAAAGGGGCATAACTCTGCCAAAAATCATCAAACCATGACCAAATTCGAACTTGACCTGTATTTTCTCACGACATATCCATATCTCAAATTTGAGTTGAATGTGTGCAACCGTTACTAAGATAATGAACGGAAACTGATGATGACGGAATGACAGAATGACGGAATGACGGAACAGGGTAACACTATATGCCCCGGCCATTACATGGCGGGGGCATAAAAATGGAAAAGTAACAAAGGGCAATAACTCTGTAATTACTTTAGATAGAGTTATGGTTCTTGTGCAATGCACTTCCTCTCTATGTGCTTAACCATTGTATGAAGTTGTACTGAATTCTTCAAGTTATGCTCTGGACAAGAAAAATGCAACAGACTGCTGGTATAAATATATCTTTCTGCCAGTGTTCATGAACAGAAATTTAATATCTTTTTTTTTCTCTCACTGGACTAAACATTAATTTCTTACACAGAAACATTAAAATGTTTTTTTTTATGACTGACAAGTCTGCTGACTTTATAGCTATGCATAGAAATGCATCAAAAGACTGAAGTTTATTTTATTCACATGAAAGATCAGCAGTAATGTTCTCTTCCTTTGAGGTTAATTATATCTTTCTATAATGTTTTAAACACAGTTAACATCCATTTATAAATATCCTTTTGATACTTATTATTTATATATATAATTTTTTGAATTTATTTAAGATTCTATTGCTACACCTAGTTACAAAAAAAATATTACATTAAACGAACTTGAATATGAATATTTAAGTTAAACAAGAGGCCTTCAAAGAGGGGTGATGCTCCCCGGATGGGTACTTTGATCATTTCTGAGAAATAGTTGTAAAATCCCACTTCAAATAACAAAGTTATGGGCCAGACAAGATTTTGCTGCAAGGTCATGCTGTGACCTTGACCTTCAAGGTTGCTAACCAAATGTTGCACGCAACACCTCGTCTCAATATGGTGATCATTTCTGTGAAATAGTTGTAAAATCCGACTTCAAATAACAAAGTTATGGGTCGGACACAAATTCCGACAGACAACCCGTCGACTATATGCTCCCCCCTGAATTTTTTCGGGGAGCATAATAAACTAGCTTACCTCTAAATTACTCATTGCTCTATCTTGTGATCTCATTAACTCTTGTAACATGGCTGGATTTCTTGCCAAATCTAATGTCTGGAAAGAAAAATAACTGTGCACTTCACTCATCACTGTTGAAATGATCCTAAAGTTCGAAACTGAGAAAATGTAATTATCCCTTATAGTCATTAATTTGTGACTTCCCATCAATTACTGAACTAAATATATGTCTGGATGTCTTGTATAAACACTTGTGAAAGGACATATCATGTCATCCAAAAACTACACAAATTCAAGCCAACATCTGATACAACAATTTATCCTATCAAAATGCCTTATTAAATAGGTGTAAATCTGCTAACTCTAAACTTATCACATTATAATGTTGAATGTTGATGTAATAAATTTATCAAACACACAGTCAAGCAAAAAATTTAGATATTGAATTTATCTAACAAATGTATATATTGTATTCTATGTATGTTTAATATATGTTCAGCATTTGCAACATTTCAGAATAAAAGTCATGAATCAGCAAGAGAAAAGCATAAAATGTGTGGTAACTGATGTAACTATGTCTGTCATGTATTGTCTTCACCAATCTTTAAGACAAAACAATTTGAGTCTTTAATTTTGTTAATGCATGAAAATTGATAAACATGCAGTTACAGTAATTGAGAAAATAGCACTACATTTGAATGATCTTTCACCCTTTGACCTCTAAGTGGGTTTGATTGATAGAGCTCATCAAGGCCCATGCATTTGGGAAGTGCTGCACATGGATGGATTTCGTGTTATGGTCACGGATAAAGTTTTGTGACAAACAAACAGACAAACCAAAAACAACATGCCCTCCAAATCTTTTGATTCTGAGACATAAAAACAACATCCTGAGCTATCATAATAATATCAATACCCTATAAGAAAGATATCAGCAAATATTACACAATCATTGTTTGACAAATATACCCTGAAAAAATAAAATAAGGGGCTACCTACATTTAATGTCTGACACACAAATCTGGATAACTAACATACCTGTCTCATAAGTTCTGGATTGTTCAACATATGTGTGATTTCTGGATTTCTCTGTAATATACGAAAATTATGATAAAAAGTCATTGTTGAAATTATGAACTATGAATACAAGAATTTTAATCATATATTTGATCAAAATCTCTTTGTAAAACATAGATACATCTGTTCAAATAACAATAATTCATAAAATTGAACTTCATGGTCAAGGTAATTCAGGGAAAAAGTTGATATTTCAATAATTGCAAATAAATTCTATTAAAGAGCAGAAACTTGGAAATGTATGGATTATTTCATAAATTCAAAAAAGTTGGTCCATCATGAACCAGAATCGCATTAATTTTTATTTCTATTTCCTAAAAGTATTTCATTTTTGATGTTCTATTAGTTACTCAAGTTACATCTAGTATGCTATCTTAATTAGATTTACGATTCTATTTTGGTTGATGATTAGGTTCATAAGATTTGAACACTACTATTTTTGAAGGCCAACCATGTTTGATTATTTTGTTGGCAATGCATATTGCTTTACACATTCATTTATATTACGATCATAATTCAATATGCAACCATTATATCTTGTCAAAAGGCCATTTATATCCATGTATGAAGGAAGACTTTAGCTTACAGCATTTTGATGTTTAAGTTGCCTGCATACATAACAAGAGCACCGCTAGGAGGATACATAACAAGAGCACCGCTAGGAGGAGCATTATATGCCCGAAAGTGTTTTTCTTTTTTTAGTAAGGATGAAGCATTTGTAAGACATTACATAAGTTAAATAAAGTATTACCTCCTTCAAATAGCAATCCTCCTATAAAGTTTGAATATTGTGGGCCAAATGGAACTTAACTTATGCTCTGGAAACTGTTTTAAGTTTTGAGGTAATAGCGACCTTGAACTTTGACCTTGTGACCCCAAAATCAAAAGTGGTCTTCTACCCAATATGGACAATCATCCTATGAAGTTTGAACACTATGGGCCAAATAGAAATTAAGTTATGTTCTAGAAACTGTTTTCAGTTTTAAAGTAGTAGTGATCTTGACCTTTGATCTTGTGATCCCAAAATTAATAGGGATCTTCTACCCAATATGGACAATCAACCTATGAAGTTTGAATACTGTGGGCCAAATAGACCTTAAGTTATGCTCCGAAAACTGTTTTCAGTTTTAAGGTAATAGTGACCTTGACCTTTGACCTTGTAACCCCAAAATCAATAGGGGTCTTCTGCCCAATATGGAAAATGATCCTATGAAGTTTGAACACTGTGGGCCAAATAGACCTTAAGTTATGTTCCGAAAACTGTTTTCAGTTTTAAGGTAATAGTGACCTTGACCTTTGACCTTGTGACCCAAAAATCAATAGGGGTGGGTCTTCTGCCCAATATGGACAATCATCCTATGAAGTTTGAACACTGTGGGCCAAATAGAAATTAAGTAATGTTCCGGAAACCGTTTTCAGTTTTAAGGTAATAGTGACTTTGACCTTGTGACCCTAAAATCAATAGGGGTCTTCTACCTCATATTGACAATCATCCTATGAAGTTTGAATATTGTGGGCCAAATGGAACTTAAGTTATGCTCTGGAAACCAAATTTCTAACGGACGGATGGACAGATGCACGGACGGACAGACGGACGGATGTTCTAACAGGAGAGTAATAATGTGGCTACTCTATTGTTCTCTCTATTGTTCTTTTTAGCCACACAAAAGAAAATAGCCACATAAAAGCATTACAGAATGAATGACATCAAAGAGAAAGAACAGTTACCTATTGTCCCTCTAGCCACATAATTACTGTCCTGTGAGTGCGGACAGACAGACAGACGGACGCCAGGGGGTATAACATAATATGCCCGAAATTCTTTCGGGCATATAAAAACAGAAAATGCACATTTACCAGGTCTGACCAGGCTCTATACCATTGTCGGCACAATTTTGTAATATGATAATGAAACCCATTAACCTTTGAAAAGACTTTGAAATTCAAAGCAAGGCTAATCTATTGAACAAAGTCAGTAGGTTAAGCATTCATACCTCCATGACTTCTCTCATCTGTGGGTTGGCCATCATTAATTGCCTCATTACATCAGGGTTAGACATCATCTGCAGTACAACCGGGTTGTCCATCATCTGTCTCAACATCTCTGGATTCTGCATTACCTACATTATAGAATTAGTAAATTTATTCACAGATTACATACATTTATAGAATAGTGAGTTTATTCAAAGATTACATACACTTATAGAATTAGTGAATTTATTCACAGATTACATACATTTATAGAATAGTGAATTTATTCAAAGATTACATACACTTATAGAATTAGTGAATTTATTCACAGATTACATACATTTACAGAATTAGTGAATTTATTCACAGATTACATATATTTATTGAAATTGTGAATTTATTCACAGATAACATACATTAATAGAATAGTAAATTTATTCACAGATTAAATACATTTATAGAATAGTGAATCTATTCACATATTACATACATTTATAGAAAAGTGAATTTATTCACAGATTAAATACATTTATAGAATAATGAATTTATTCACAGATTAAATACATTTATAGAATATTGATTTTGTTCACAGATTACATACATTTATAGAATAAGTGAATTTATTCACAGATTAAATACATTTATAGAATATTTAATTTATTCACAGATTTTATACATTTATAGAATAGTGAATTTATTCACAGATTACATATATTTATAGAATAGTGAAATTATACATATATTACATACTCTTATAGAATTAGTGAATTTATTCACAGATTACATACACTTATAGAATAAGTGAATTTACATTTGTAATTAGGACATTTATGAGCACCAAAGGTGTGAAAAACATGCCAAGGTTAGCGTTTATCCGCTCTTTTGTTGTTTTACCTGTCCATCAGTCAGGCATCAAATTGTTTCCAAAATCTCAAATTCTCATCATAACTGCGACATGGGCAACCGGTGGTGAATATAAATAAACTAAAATTCACACAGATATCTGTGACATGTAAACCTGGCTGAATTAAATAACCCACACAAGCCCAAAATCAATTTAAAATCCTGCACTGTAAATAGAACGGCCGAGACAGGAAGTAAATGGCGTTTGATTAACTAGGGGACACAACTAAAGCTGGACTGAAAATCTTCAGTCTAGCTTTAGTTATGTCCCCTAGTTAATCAAATGCCATTACAGTAATGGCTGTTGACACTACATTCATGATTTATGTTTTTCTTTCTAAAGTTTTTGGCTTCTTTTAAATATAATTAGTATTATTTGTGAATATAATACACTTAACGAAACTTATAAGTACTCCGATTTCAAACTTGCAGGAATACTCCGGTTTTCAAAATATATACCAAATCAATGTTGAAAATGTGTACTGACTCTACTTTCCGACTGCATGAATGATTTTCAAACAAAATCAATCATCCGAAACGCAATATGGCGGTCACATGCAAAAACCCGAAAATGGGCACGTGCAAGATGCCCACATTGTGTATTTTGATGCAAATTGTTAGTTTATTGATGTGCCTAACATAAAAACACAAAATGGCCCGAATGTCGCTGCAACAAAGAGGAATTGCCATGGGGCTATTACAGGGCGGCGCATCGCCTAGCTGTAATCAGAGCAAACGGAGGACATACGAGGTATTGACTAAATTGACTAAACTTGAAGGTATTTGATTTTTTTACAATGGTGATCTCAGTTACTGATTTTCTGTTAAGTTTGAGTTATTGTAAAATGCATTTACTATTATAAAATGATGATACTATGATTAAAGTTTATACAGTATCGACTTAGACTAGTTATAGTAATTCTAACACAATATAATAAAAAATTGGTCGGAGTACTTATAAGTTTCGTTTAGTGTATATATTTACATCATTGAATTGTTTTAGAAAAAGATAATGTCGATATTCATTGAACAGTAAAATGAGGCTGAACTCAAATGTTGAGACAATCCCATAATTTGTAAACATCTCTAGGGAAATCTAGAGTCATAGTCTTTTGAGTCCAGATTTAGTTTTTTCAGGGACATGTCAATTGCATGTATAAACAAGAACTATTGAAATTACAAAACAAAACAAATTGTTCATGCTTGCAAAAATCATAATACACATCGTTATAGTTAGGGATTTACTTGATTGTAGATGAAAATAAAGTAACAAATCAATCTTTTGTTTTTTCATTTTTTTCTCAGGTTTATAATTGTAAAAACACATGTGATTGATCACTTACAAGCACACTATCTGCAATTGCAGCAATGATCTGATCAATGATATCATTAAATATCAAAAAAGAGCAGAAAGAATAATACTAGATAAATGTAACGATGCACCCTCCACGGATTTGTTTAAAGAACTAAATTTGGTGAGATTACATGAAAGAATGAAATACAAAAAAGAACACTTATAATGTTTAAATCTATCAATGCCATACCATATCCACAATATATGCAAAGTAAATTCCAATGTGTACACCAAAACATGAGCGCAACTTAAGATCTATAAATAGTTCACACCTAGCTGTTCCACAATCTAAGAAATAATTTTTCAGAAAATTACTACTCTGGCCCTTAATTATGGAATAATATCCCTGTTTACAGAAAATTTAAAACAGTTCAGGAATTTCAAGCTTCATATCTATCCTGGCATTTCTCATCATTAAATTAATCATTTTATAACAAAATTAGAATCTAATTATTTGATGTACCAACTAAAACATATTTCATTTGAGATGTACTTCTTTGACATGTATTATGCTATGAATGGACTGTATATATTTAACATGTATTTCTTGTTCTGACAATTTCAATGTACATTGTAACACAATGTTGTTGCAATTATTTTTGTAATATTGTAGTTGTATATATTGTAAATTATGTTTCATGTGGTTAATCAAATTATTAAAACCACATCTAAATGCTCATTGGTAAGGCCACAGAAAATTAATTTTTAGACTCTCATCCTCGCCCGCCCGTATCAAAATCTTTCCGCCCCAAAATAATTTATTTTCATTAAAAACAAGGGTGCCATAGTCACAAAATACGCCCGTTTACGAAAAAGCTTTAGATGGAGATGGGGGCATTATGGATAAGTGTTATCTAGCAAGCAAGTTTTTATTCTTGGCACTGTGTTGTTAAATGAACCTTAAAACAAATCAATAGGGAAGATATGCACAGAATGTGTGACCTTGACCTTGGTCGCAGGGACCTGTATTTTATGCACGGCACTCAGCCTCACAATGATGAACATTTGTGCCAAATTATATTGAAATCCCTCTATGCATGTTAGAAGTTTTGCTACAGACAAGTGTTTTTCTATGAGCTCTAACTGTGACCTTCACCTTTTGACCTAGAGACTTGGTTTATGTGCAGGGCACTACGTCTCATGGTGGTGAACAATTCTATAAAAGTAACATTAAAATTCCTCCATGCATGTAGAAAATATGTTCCGGACAACATCTGGATATTTAATCATCTCCAGTGACCTTGACCTTGCAAATATTAACCTAAATTAAATGTGTAACACCTGTAGTCATGATAGTTACCATTTGTGCTACAATCCATCAATAAATGATGACTAAATGGTCCCTATAACCATCTTCAAATTTTTATCTGAACTTTGAACTTTGACCTCTATGTGTAACCTTGACTTTGGTCGCAGGGATCTGAATTTTGCATGCGACACTCGGCCTCACAATGGTGAACATTTGTGCCAAGTTATATTGAAAATCCCCTATGAATGTAGAAGTTTTGCTCCGGACAAGCGTTTTTCAATGAGCTCTAAGTGTGACCTTGACCTTTGACCTGGAGACCTGGATCATGCATGGAGCAATACATATCATGGTGGTGAACATTTCCATAAAGTATTATAAAAATTCTTCCATACATGTAGGAGATATGCTCCAGACAAAATCTGGATATTTCACCATCTTTAGTGACCTTGACCTTGCATATATTGACCTAAAGTACATGTGTCACATCCGTAGTCATGATAATGACCATTTGAGTTACAATCCCTCAATAAATGATGATTAAATCGTCCCTATACACATCTTCATATTTTTATCTTTTTTTAAACGGGCGTATAAAAAGTACATGTAATTTAATAACTAAAAAATTCTGATTTAAGATTTTATTCTAGGGAAATACATTTCATTACAATTCTTAATCTTTGAATGAGCTGAACTGATATTTACTTGAAAATTAAAATATAATTAAATTTCTATGAGAAAGTATTTACATTTGATAAGGTAATTACTGTATGATCTTTATGAACAAATACCAAGTCTACAGAACACCATAGTTATCACAGTTAAGAATCTTGACCAATGAATGAAACATGTGTAAATAAATGTTACATTCTTTAGAACATACTCAAGTCCAAGAAAGAGGATTATTTCATGCCCTTTGATTTAAATTCTATTTTTAGAATTGAAAGTGAAAATAGATCAAGGGAGTAATTGTGTAAGTCATTTATGAACAAAGTAATAACTTTGTTGTCTCCCTTTGATTAAATTCTATTTACAAAATCTGGATATTTCATCATCTTTAGTGACCTTGACCTTGTTTATATTGACCTAAATTATATGTATCACAGCCATAGTCTTGATAATGACCATTTGTGTTACAATCCCTCAATAAATGATGACTAAATGGTCCATATACACATCTTCATATTTTTATCTTAACTTTGACCTCTATGTGTGACCTTGACCTTGGCCGCAAGGACCTGAATCTTGCACGCGACACTCCGCCTCACAATGGTGAACATTTGTGCCAAGTAATATTGAAATCCCTCTATACATGTGGAAGTTTTGCTCCGGACAAGCATTTTTCAATGAGCTCTAAGTGTGACCTTGACCTTTGACCTAGAGACCTGGTTCATGTGCGCGACACTGCTCCTCATAGTGGTGAACATTTATATGAAGTTTCATTAAAATCCCTCCATACATGTAGGAGATATGCTCCGGACAAAATTGGACGCCGCCCGCCCGCCAGGGGCGTTCCCATAATACGTCCCGTTTTTCAAACGGGCGTATAAAAATTGTTCATTTCCAGGGTTCCCTCCGGGTCAAAATTAGTTTCATCTTTACATGTTCCCGAAGTGTCACACAATTGATGACATAACTAATAGTGC